GTTCTGAAGAAGGATGACAGCCATGACAAACATTTGACAAGCTGCACTCACTCTGATATGCAATTTGGAAATTTGCACCATCTAGCTTCTCCCTTAATGAAAGGAGAATTGGAAGCGGGGTATGCATGAGTTCAGTTGGGGCTATCAAGAGATGCAAATACATGGAAACAAGGGTGTCACTTCTCAATGGCAGGATTCTGAATTCACCATTCGATTGAGGAGGGAGAGAAACAAAAGGAATTGGCAAGTACTTTTCTTGTCATTGAGAATTTGATATCTTTCATTCTGATTATTTCTCATGCCACATCAGGGAGGGGAAAATTCTACACTATCTTTTAAGGAGTCTGTAGCCCTGCACATTTCACACCCTCCACTGGATGGTGGCAAGTGGTTTGAACAGTGCAGAAAAATACATTAAAACACAATGGCCCAGAATGATTTCTGCAAAATTGTGCTGGTGGTTTTTGCATAATTCCGTAGATATGGCACAACCGACGCAAAAGGTCAGGGAATCTGTTTCTGTATTACATTCTGCGATCGAAGGCACCGCGATTTTTTGAGCTCAATTTAAAAAGTGCTCGAAAATGTCAGTACTTTGGCCTTTTGACCAGAGCTGAAAAGCTACAGGGTTTTCTTTCAGAAGGCAAGGTGGAGGGCAGCAGAAACATGGATTGACCTAGGCACTGTTAGATGATGGATATTACAGAGCGGTTGCAGGAGAGCTACAATGGATGTGAGAGGCCAGTGCAAGACAGATGAGCATGGTGAACCGTGACAACACATTTCCCTGGCAGGATTCACGACTAGCAGCAGCAGCTTGAAGCAAGGCCTACCCATGAACCCATCCATAACCATGGGATGAACTGATCACCTTTGGGATTTTCCACTGATTATGTTCATTAAGGAAGTTGCAAGCTTCAATCTTTGGACACAAGGATACATTTTGAAAGCGTATGAATGTTTTTGCTTGATTTACTAAAGAGCTTGTTATCATTCCCCAATCTAAATCGCAAATATTTTTGTATAATTTAAAAAATAATTTTCAGTACTTTGAAATTGGGTTACTCTCAGGGATGGTTAGTGTGTTTAAAATTTGTTTTGATGGTGAAACCCATTTTCAGCCATACTCAAAATTTGCTATCAATCTGAAGTAGTTTGAAAATTGTTTCTAAACCAGCAATTTTGAACAAGCTATATTTATGGAGCACCTTAAATGTAATGGAATGTTCCACACTATTCAACAGGAACATTATAAAACGAAATATGACTACATGCCACAAAGGAGATATTAGGTCAAATGGTCAAGGGAGGTTTAAAGGAAGTCTTAAAAGGTGGCAGGCAAGGTAGAGGCAGAGAGGAGTAGGGAGGGAGATTTAATCTAGGCAACAAAAAGTCACTGATAGTGGGGCAATTATGATTGGGAATGCACCAAGAGCAGTGCACCTATTAAAAGGTTGTGGGGTTGGAGGAACTGCAGAGATAGAGAGAGACAAGGACACAGAGGGATTTGTAAATGAGGGTGAGCAATTTAGAATCAAGATATTGCTTAACTGGGAGCTAATGTAGATCTGAGAGCACAAGCGTGAGAGGAGACCAGGTCTGACCGATAGTTAATACTAAAAAAGGGCAACAGAGTTTTGGATAACTACAAGTTTAGGGTGGAAAGAATACAGCCAGGAATGCTAGCTCTAAAGGCAATAAAGGTATGGGTGAGAACTTCATGACAGAAAAGCAAATATTTCTAAAATATGCTGGATTGCACTGGTTTATAACAGATTTTAGGCCGACTGATACACAAGTGAATTTAAGCAGAACTCAGGAGAAGGAAAATATATCCAAATATTTTGCAGTGTTGGGATTCAACTTGGGTCAGATGCAACAACTGTATCAAATGAGAATGTCTACTCATATTTCTTGTGTACACCTATAGTAACACTTGTTGCTAGCGTCAAACTACATGATGTAATTCATTTTGTCATAATACTCTAAAAAAAATTTCTGCATTTAAGCATCGTTGAGGAAAGGTGATCAATTGTCTGAAACATGATTACACCATTGTTGAAGGGTTTGTTTAGGTCCAGTACTGCATGTAATATCATGGCTCAAGTGTAAAGAAATCTATTGACAAATTATTTCCAAGATTTACAACTCCCAAAAATAATTTTCTCTGTCCATCCTTTACCCTGCCAAAGCCTACCTGTTATTTTTTTCTTTAGAATGTGGCAACTTGTGTTTTGGGTTAAATTTCACAGACAGCAGTATCTCTTTCCTACTCAAGCAAAAAAGTAGTTTTCTTCATATTTGAGCCTCCAAACAAACTTTCTTCCAGAATAAATTCTAAACGGAAGGTATTTACATAATATAACTTGAAGAGCTGCACAAATTGCATTCATATATGGAGGACTCTTTTTGTATATTATAAGATTATACTATGATTTACAATTATGCTAATATAAATAAATAGTGAAATTTATTGCATTTTTCATTATTAGGTTAAGTTTAATAATGGATTGATTTCCATAATGTTGAAGGTGCCCTACCAAACATTTAATGTGCAACGCAAGAGCAATCTTTGTGAGTTACACTGTGCCTCACAACAGTAGCATCCTAAAATCCAAGGCCCATGATTCCTACAGTCATCACAAAAGATAAAAATGTTATAAAAGTAAACAAAATCCCCCAACTTACCTTTTCTTTTAAGGCCCAGATTGACAGGAAGCACAGATCAGATTTCTGTACTTAATAAGTATTATTTATTGCTATTTATTACAGGTAAATAGACTCTACAGGTAAACTATTATTAACTGTCGGCATATAATGTCACTGGTTAAAACTCTAATCCCCTTACCATTCAAACACAGACATGGACAGGAAAAAAAACCATGGGTGCTATGGGCAGAGGAAAACTTGGGAGATCAGTGAGGTGGTCTCTGTTCTCAGGATCTGCTGAGATGGTTTGTGCTGATCAGAACACTGCTCGTCAGTCTGCCTTCCTTCGACTTTCACTGGTTTGTCAGAATACTAATAAGAAATCTCTGACTTATTAATTAAAAGTCACAGCTTACAACAATTAAAGGAAAAATAAACTGGCTGCCTTCAGGGCTTAAAGTGCATTTTGCTGAAGAGAACAGCCACAGCTTCTGAGCTGGTCGGGATCTGATTGCTGCACTCGGTATGTTGTTTAGAGCTTTGTTACTGATAATTGTTCACTAGTTCACAGCCTAATCAGGATCTTGCTGTCGGCTAGATCTCCATTTGTACGCATCCTTTGGTTCTGACTCATCTACAAGCAACACTTCAACTACTACCAGAACCAACAGTTCAGTAAACATAGTGAGTCAGGTTACTTGCTTTCAGAAACATACAGTAACCCTTCAACAATCCTTCACTTTAAAACAGTTCTTTACCCATTTCATAAATAAAAATGCAGAAAAATAAGACAACCTGGGTCTTCACAGTTAGAAACGCTAATCTAAATCCTTGAATCATTTTTATTAAATTGTACCATTGCAGTTGAATGCATTAACCTACATAAACAGTTTATCATTCTAGCTCACAAAAAATGGCGAAAATTATTTCATTTTAGATACAAAAACTTTGGCCTCAGACTTTTGTTTTTCTTTCTGAAAGTACTGCAAGATTATGTGATTTAAAAGATACAGCCACATCACATTACGTTGACTATCATAAACAAGATTAAATCCTCCAGACCACAACAGAGTTGATGGAAGAAATGGTACACAACAGAGATCTGAACTAAATAGATCCAGCAGGAAGAGTCAGTTAGAAAAGGCAATAGTACACCCAGTTGTATTAACTAGACACCCTTTCAATATGCTGAAGGTGAAATATGTGGGAGTGGGATGTTAAAAATGGTATTTATGTAAATACCACAAATTGGCACACAGTCAATCTTACTTTAATTCAGGTAAGGTTTTCAAAGTCTCCAACAAATTATGAGAGGTTGGATAATAAATTCAAACTATTCAACTTTTTTTTTTAAAAGAACTGAAGCACATTAAAATGGGGAATCCCTAAATTATCCCTGGGAATGTTATTTCAAGCTTAATTAGCTGAAGCTACTGGGTTATAAAAATATTTCAACATTCTCAAATTTTAATTATCTCTTAACAAAACGCTAAAATATCCTGTTAGACAAATGTTAACATGCAGCATTAGAACCAGCATAGTTTGAATTCATTAACAATTCACAGCCACAAATCTGTAGCTGAATACATATTATCCTATTAATTAAACATATCTGACAGGTCATAACACGAGACCAAAGACTAAGAAATACCTTGAAACTATTGATATCAACAGCACTACACTAATTAGATTCAGAGACTCTAGCTACATTCGGTCATTAGGAATCAACTAGTTGCGTAAGACTAATCTATTTTAATGTCTCCGAAGCCAAGGGTATTACTGAGTCTTGTAATGGTGTAAATTATTATTGATGACATCAATAGTAATGTAATTATCCTTGCTATTTTCATACAGCTGTCAAGTTAGCATCAGATGGCTATCCCTTTTAATGGCAAACTGATCAATTCAATCGAGTTTCTCTCTAAATGCACTTCATAAACCTGCACAGTTTTTTAATGGCTACACTAATGGTCTTGTAGCCACAACTGCAAATTATAGGTCACCCAACCACAAAGAAAGGGTATTCAATGGCATTGTATGTATAAGTGCACACGTCGCACAACCAAGATCAGAGAATTTGCCCTGGAAGATTCCAAGCACATTAAAAAATACTTACTTTTTGTTCACATTTTCCCCCCTCAAGTTGCTACTACAAAGTCTGCAAATCTATTTGTTTCTTTCAAACTCAAGGTGGAAATATTTCAGAGGGATAGAATCGAGCATTGCAAGATGTCAAAGAATCTGTACAATGGTTATCTATCAGTAGTGCTGTAGTTTCAGACACAATGAAGTATAACAGGTGCAGTAATAAGGTTCAGTTCTCCGAGATGACTAATGACATTTCAACTCACCTGCATAGTGCACAGGTGCATCCTTGTCCAGTGCAACCAGGGGTGGATCCAGAAATACTGTGTCATTGTTTTCTGTTATTGTACCATGGTAGGATGTCTCAATCCATGGCTTGTGTTTGTTTACTATAAACAAAAATGGTGCAATTAGAAAAGTGTGAAACAGTCTGTATCAATACAGATACAATTCAAATAAATCATACTAAATAAATGCTTTCAAATCCTAAACAATGGTACCAGCTAAGAGCATTGGATTCACAAATTAATCGACTACATCGGTGAAAAATATCTACTTTGTTTTCTGCTCAAGTCGTACCTTTCTTCCTCTGTCCCACATTCTGCTCTTTTGATTTCTAATTTTAAGATTCCTACACTGAGCTACTTGTTTTATTATTCTGGAATACTGACTCTGCTGTTGTCATTAACAGTGGCACTGAAAATATCTCACAGCAGATTAATACTCTGCTGGTCAATCCAGTTACAGTGCATATTTTCTGTGCCTGCTGTTCTGCTTGTGATGCGGATTTCCGCTCAGTGAGTGTGTCATCGAAAATTGAAATCAGAGTCTTTCTGGGTTTTGATAATCAGAACGCAACAAAGCTCCTTCTAAACCATTTTTCTTAAATGTTAAGGGCAACAGATGCACGGGAACACCATCTACAAGTCTCCCTCTAAGTCATGCACTGACCAATTTGGAAATATATGCTAATTTGTTCACTGTTGCAGGGTCAAAATCCTGGAAGGCCTGGTCTGACAGCACTGTATCTACATTGCATGGACTGCAGCCCTCCCAAGCAGTAAGTATTTCATCGTCACTTTCTCAAGGACAATCAGGAACAGGCAATAACATGTACTATTGCCAGTGATGCCCTCATCCTATGAAAGAATATTAAAAAGAAACCAGATCCTTGAAACAAACTGACTTAGACATTTACCTGACTTTAAGTTTGCTAATGCTACCAAAGTGGTCTCTGCAGTGTACCTTGGATCTCAAGTCTACAACATATTGCTGGGATACATCATTTTGCAGTATTTTGCTGTGATGCCATTGCAATAACTATAGAAGTATTATTGCTGTGCAAAATTTCACAAGAAATTCTCTTGAAGTAATAATGTGACTTCAAAACATTGCATTGTTACCAAATTCCCAATTATTTCTCACATATTCAGGCCTGCCACAGATAGCATTATTTATAATGTACAATCTTCAGATCTTCATTACAATAGTCTCAACCTGAAAACTCAAATTGCAAGATTAGTTAGAATTTAACATTTCAAGTTGGCATTGGGTTACACTTTTGATAAAACATATTATTCTGCTAGTTAACACACTGTTAATGTAAAATTTTCAGAGGATAAGAGTTAATCCTACTGCATCCTGGAAAACACAAAACCATTGAGAAGCCCGATCCATTTAATTGTCAAATACAAATAATTGTACAGTACATCAAGAGATTTGGAAACAGCAAAGTGTTAATGGGCCATCTCTTGTTTGATTGGGATGGTTTGTACAAAACATCATGTAATTATCAAAGAGTGATAAATATCCAGATGTTGTTACAGATTACTAGCGTGGATTTGGTAATTGACTTCAGTTCCCTACACATTAACCTCATTAGTGAATTAATTAACACATTGCCATTGCGAGGTCACATAATAAACTAATATAAATGCAGGATGGCTGCCACAATAATACCATCTGGCACAATACTGAACCTGGGCACTACAGTGTCAAACCTATCAGTGGCAGTTTTGACCCGGTTAAGTTAATATCCTGAATATGTAGAATTAGTTGACATTTTTCACATCAAATTAGAACGGTGATTTATTTTCTCCATCTTTGTTCTCCACTTTTCCCTCAAGGAATATTAATGGCTGTTGAAGAATTCACAAAAATGACGATCCCCCAAATAAAACTTTGCCTGAGTGGCCATTCTTCAACTACGTACTGCTGAGTTACTTATCAAACCCAGCCCTGTTGTACCATTCATCTTGCAGCTCGTAAAATTTAATTCAACTAGCACTGGATGCATTTTTGTGACTTTATTTTTGCTCTACATTAATTTATTAAAGCTTGCAATGCAAAGAGAGGTATGAATACAGGACAGTCTGTGCCATCCACAGAATGTTGTACATGGGTTTTTAAGTTGGCATTGGGTAACCCAATGCCAACTTAAAAGTCAGGCCCTTTAAAAGGATCCAATTACTGTCCTTCTTGCAAAGATTCTTGTGACGCATAACCGATAACACTTCATAAGATTCGACATTGACATTTCACTTTTTTGTCAATTAATTAAATCAGGAATTTTTCATTTGAATTTTAAAAGCTTTCAGCCCACTCATAAAATATCAATAGACCTACTAATCTATGATTGAAGATACTGCTGTAATGATAAATAGATGATTGGTCAAGCATGTAATAATCCTGTTGTTTGCGATTCAAAATCATTTTTCCTGAAATGACTTCCACGAGCAGTGCTGGGGCATAGTTTAAGAATGATACATTGAACGAGATGTGGTTTGCTGGGGATTATACTTCCAGATGGCATCCCACAAAATAAATGAAAACTCTAACTCCTGCCTTACTGGTCCAATATATTCATACATAATGAAATATTCCTGCAACACCTCAAAAAATGTCAACCCTGCACAAAATAATAAAACTTTATTAACCGCTGCAACGGATGAGATCTGGATCAATGTTGAGAGACAAAAATAAGCACTATTACTTCTGTGTAATTGTGCATAACTCCACCTACGTTCCTGTCACCCTGCTTTTAAGATGAATGCGATAAATTCAGGGCATTATATTGTTTACTAACAAGAGGGTATGTTAATATGATTAAAAAGGGAGAATTTGTTCATGGCCCACATACTATGTAAAACATCAGAATTTAGGGCTCTTGTCATACAGTAGTAGTGTCCATTATTTTGAGCCAGAAGGACTGGGTTCAAGCCCCACCTGCTTCAGAGCTGTGTAAACACGTCAAAACAGGTTGTTTAAAAGACCTAGTTTTTCTTGAATCAGCATAGCTTTTCTACAAAAGCTATAGGAAATAGATTGCTTATGTTAGTTAACACAAACCACTAAATGTACATTTGGCACCAATAAACAGAATTTAAAAAGTGGCAATCACATTCAGAGACAAATAACAACACTGCTTGTCAAAAAAAACTTCTTTCTAATTTTTGAGTACCAATTAAATTTTAAGTAACTGACAAAATTAGTTCACAACAGTTCTTTCAAATTTAAGCAAATGGGATTACTATACCAATATTAGAGTAAGCCTAGATACCTGCATTGCTGAAGAACCACATTGATAATTAGCTTCTTAATGTCATATGGACATGAAAAATTTAATTGTGCATAATGGATATCTCAAAATGAATTACAGGGCATTAATCCTGTCAACTTCAGATAATATCATGAGCCCTGATAGTCAAGCTTCAGCTGTTTATAATCCTCTCAACCAAAAAATTGAATTGTTGCCTTCAACTCACTTTGTGACAGCAGTTGAGGTTGTGAGGAATCAATCTGACTTTGTTTTTAACTGCTAAAAAAACTGATCATTTTAACAAAAGGTTCTTAAATGGTGTATTGGTGAAGTCCAAAGTTTAACAAAGTGTGGCATCGCTACAATTAATTCCAGCCCCATAGCTTGAAGAGCAAGAAAAAGTAAAAGGTGACTTCATTCTCGAGCTCCTAATTGTTATGAACATACCTTTCCTGGATTATCCAGTGGGGAAAGCATCCTACCCCTCCTTAATCAAAGGGATGATCAACAACTGCTGTCGACACTCTGATAAAAATAGCTACACAGATTGAGGGTAATTACTTGATTTCAAAAAGTATGATCCTAAAGCCCACTGAACCAAATGACATCAAGACAGTTTAATGAGCTCATCTGATATTGTTACAACTTGAATATAAGTAATTTTAAAGAGCAATATATTGAAAACCTGGCATTCTTTAAGAAAATTATTTAAATACATGTTTCTAAGTTAAGCGTTGGTAGATTTGAATTTTCTACTGAGCTGAACTGGAAGAATCATCATTACCATCTTTTGTTCTTTTCTGCCATTTATCCCCAAAATCCAGTTTCTTCCAAAAAAAATTCCAAATCACATTTCAGTTGATACCATGTTTTATCTTGACAAATGTCTTATTCCATTTTCACAATTATCGTTCTGCATGTAGAATGTACATTTTAAAATCTTTTCCTTGTCATGCCAGTGAAGGTGTGCAGTTCCCCCTCAATAACGCTACAACAAAAGCTCCACCACATTTTGGCAGCAGTTACTTGATGGACTAATGGGCTTTCATTTCACTTGCACGTCTCTCCAAGGACAATGCCATCAGTCTACAAGAATACAATTGAAATGACATCTCAGTATCTTGCTTTAATTTGTAAACAACTGCAATCCATAGAATATGGTAAGTTTTCAACATGAAAGCACTGCATAGTATGTTACTGGCCTAACTGGACTAGAAAGATCTCAATTCAATCAATAGGTATTTCAGGAAGCATTAGGGACAATTTATATTTCTACCTCGATGGTCTGTCCCCAACTATTATTAAGGAAGTACAATTCAGCACCTGATGCTCCTCCTCCTTGTAATCTGGCAATCTCTACAGAAATGAAATGATAATTACACAACATAAATATTTAGTGTTAAGTCTCACAGCTGGTACACAACAAACCTTTAACAGACCTGCTCACAATATTGTCAATGCATTTCAGCATGTTACCTGATGCTGTAAAGATCTCAATCTCCATCTTAATGGGGCCACTCATAACGTGACATGCTAAGGGAGGCGTGCAACAGCTTTTAACTGAATTAGTCAGTACAAGCCCAGACACCTCATCGCATGTGATTATAATACATGTAGATACGAGGAGCTATAATAAATGTCTATCGCATCTTTCAGTCTTACTTTCCCCAAAGAAATAAGCGGCACAATGGCTCAGTGATTAGCACTGCTGCCTCATAGTGTCAAGGACCCAGGTTTGATTCCACCCTTGGGTGACTATCTGTGTGGAGTTTGCATACTCTCCCCGTGTCTGCATGGGTTTCCTCCCACAGTCCAAAGATGTGCAGGTTAGGTGAATTGGTCAATGCTAAA